CTTTTGACTCGCGCCGCTGCGTCCATCGTGTTGTGTCGCCCCTTGGGCGGCGAAGCTGGGGAGAATCGGATGTAACATTTTCTGTAGATGTCCGTGGATATATCATTTGCCTGATTCCGAGTCCGTATGAGAAAGTTACGCCTATTTTAAGAAATGACACCCGAATGACGCCAAAGCATGTCGGATGCGATCATACCAGCACTAAAGCACCGGATCCCATCAGAACTCCGAAGTTAAGCGTGCTTGGGCGAGAGTAGTACTAGGATGGGTGACCTCCTGGGAAGTCCTCGTGTTGCATCCCTCCTTTTTGTCTCTCTCTCCCCCCTTTTGACTCGCGCCGCTGCGTCCATCGTGTTGTGTCGCCCCTTGGGCGGCGAAGCTGGGGAGAATCGGATGTAACATTTTCTGTAGATGTCCGTGGATATATCATTTGCCTGATTCCGAGTCCGTATGAGAAAGTTACGCCTATTTTAAGAAATGACACCCGAATGACGCCAAAGCATGTCGGATGCGATCATACCAGCACTAAAGCACCGGATCCCATCAGAACTCCGAAGTTAAGCGTGCTTGGGCGAGAGTAGTACTAGGATGGGTGACCTCCTGGGAAGTCCTCGTGTTGCATCCCTCCTTTTTGTCTCTCTCTCCCCCCTTTTGACTCGCGCCGCTGCGTCCATCGTGTTGTGTCGCCCCTTGGGCGGCGAAGCTGGGGAGAATCGGATGTAACATTTTCTGTAGATGTCCGTGGATATATCATTTGCCTGATTCCGAGTCCGTATGAGAAAGTTACGCCTATTTTAAGAAATGACACCCGAATGACGCCAAAGCATGTCGGATGCGATCATACCAGCACTAAAGCACCGGATCCCATCNGAACTCCGAAGTTAAGCGTGCTTGGGCGAGAGTAGTACTAGGATGGGTGACCTCCTGGGAAGTCCTCGTGTTGCATCCCTCCTTTTTGTCTCTCTCTCCCCCCTTTTGACTCGCGCCGCTGCGTCCATCGTGTTGTGTCGCCCCTTGGGCGGCGAAGCTGGGGAGAATCGGATGTAACATTTTCTGTAGATGTCCGTGGATATATCATTTGCCTGATTCCGAGTCCGTATGAGAAAGTTACGCCTATTTTAAGAAATGACACCCGAATGACGCCAAAGCATGTCGGATGCGATCATACCAGCACTAAAGCACCGGATCCCATCAGAACTCCGAAGTTAAGCGTGCTTGGGCGAGAGTAGTACTAGGATGGGTGACCTCCTGGGAAGTCCTCGTGTTGCATCCCTCCTTTTTCTCTCTCTCTTCCCCCTTTTGACTCGCGCCGCTGCGTCCATCGTGTTGTGTCGCCCCTTGGGCGGCGAAGCTGGGGAGAATCGGATGTAACATTTTCTGTAGATGTCCGTGGATATATCATTTGCCTGATTCCGAGTCCGTATGAGAAAGTTACGCCTATTTTAAGAAATGACACCCGAATGACGCCAAAGCATGTCGGATGCGATCATACCAGCACTAAAGCACCGGATCCCATCAGAACTCCGAAGTTAAGCGTGCTTGGGCGAGAGTAGTACTAGGATGGGTGACCTCCTGGGAAGTCCTCGTGTTGCATCCCTCCTTTTTGTCTCACTCTCCCCCCTTTTGACTCGCGCCGCTGCGTCCATCGTGTTGTGTCGCCCCTTGGGCGGCGAAGCTGGGGAGAATCGGATGTAACATTTTCTGTAGATGTCCGTGGATATATCATTTGCCTGATTCCGAGTCCGTATGAGAAAGTTACGCCTATTTTAAGAAATGACACCCGAATGACGCCAAAGCATGTCGGATGCGATCATGCCAGCACTAAAGCACCGGATCCCATCAGAACTCCGAAGTTAAGCGTGCTTGGGCGAGAGTAGTACTAGGATGGGTGACCTCCTAGGAAGTCCTCGTGTTGCATCCCTCCTTTTTGTCTCTCTCTCCCCCCTTTTGACTCGCGCCGCTGCGTCCATCGTGTTGTGTCGCCCCTTGGGCGGCGAAGCTGGGGAGAATCGGATTTTGTCTCTCTCTCCCCCCTTTTGACTCGCGCCGCTGCGTCCATCGTGTTGTGTCGCCCCTTGGGCGGCGAAGCTGGGGAGAATCGGATGTAACATTTTCTGTAGATGTCCGTGGATATATCATTTGCCTGATTCCGAGTCCGTATGAGAAAGTTACGCCTATTTTAAGAAATGACACCCGAATGACGCCAAAGCATGTCGGATGCGATCATGCCAGCACTAAAGCACCGGATCCCATCAGAACTCCGAAGTTAATCGTGCTTGGGCGAGAGTAGTACTAGGATGGGTGACCTCCTGGGAAGTCCTCGTGTTGCATCCCTCCTTTTTGTCTCTCTCTCCCCCCTTTTGACTCGCGCCGCTGCGTCCATCGTGTTGTGTCGCCCCTTGGGCGGCGAAGCTGGGGAGAATCGGATGTAACATTTTCTGTAGATGTCCGTGGATATATCATTTGCCTGATTCCGAGTCCGTATGAGAAAGTTACGCCTATTTTAAGAAATGACACCCGAATGACGCCAAAGCATGTCGGATGCGATCATACCAGCACTAAAGCACCGGATCCCATCAGAACTCCGAAGTTAAGCGTGCTTGGGCGAGAGTAGTACTAGGATGGGTGACCTCCTGGGAAGTCCTCGTGTTGCATCCCTCCTTTTTGTCTCTCTCTCCCCCCTTTTGACTCGCGCCGCTGCGTCCATCGTGTTGTGTCGCCCCTTGGGCGGCGAAGCTGGGGAGAATCGGATGTAACATTTTCTGTAGATGTCCGTGGATATATCATTTGCCTGATTCCGAGTCCGTATGAGAAAGTTACGCCTATTTTAAGAAATGACACCCGAATGACGCCAAAGCATGTCGGATGCGATCATACCAGCACTAAAGCACCGGATCCCATCAGAACTCCGAAGTTAAGCGTGCTTGGGCGAGAGTAGTACTAGGATGGGTGACCTCCTGGGAAGTCCTCGTGTTGCATCCCTCCTTTTTGTCTCTCTCTCCCCCCTTTTGACTCGCGCCGCTGCGTCCATCGTGTTGTGTCGCCCCTTGGGCGGCGAAGCTGGGGAGAATCGGATGCTTTTTNTCTCTCTCTCCCCCCTTTTGACTCGCGCCGCTGCGTCCATCG